TTAAAAATTGGGTTAGCCTTTTATTATTAGTTTGTTAAAGGTAAATAATTAAGAGTCTATTTTAATGCTGAAATTTGTTATATTACTATATGTATCTAATGTGAAACGAGCATTTTATTATTATTGATATAGCTATTTAATTATAAGAACACAAACAGAATGAGTAAATACATTATTATTCTGCATATAATTTGATACTCTTTAGAAAACCACTAATGGTAAGATTGTGGATTCGAATTCTTTGGGATGAATTAGAGGTTTAGGCCAGGTTCAAATCCTAAGATCAATATTGGTCTCAGAAAATGAAGGGTGCAATCATCTTGATTAAGGACTGTCCTCAGTGAAGCAATGGTTGATCACACTGTGTTCAAAATGATGTATTAGAATGGCACTTCATCCTTGAAAAACAAGTTATTTTTCATAAGGCAGTAGAAGAAAGTGTTCAAAAAGGTATTATGTTCATCCTAATGGATTACCTTTATCACCTAAAAGTTCTCAAATTCTTTTGGTACCAAACAATTCACATCTACTTGAATTATATCAAGCAAATCGGAATGTAAAAAAGGCTAGAAATAATAAATTATTGAAAACAATATAATTTAGGATCAACAATATTCATGTCCACAGAAAAAGAGTTAAAGTCTGGAGCCTTTATTTAATAAATAAAAAAATAGTATTAGTAGTTACATTGAAAAAATCTGGTGCTGGTTTTGGATATCAGATTCAAAAAATTACAGGTGTTGCTGAAGATGCTGAAGGAAATGGTTTATTCTTATTCTTGGGATTAATAAATATTGAATTACTATTAATTTACCACGTGATTCCAAACCCTTAACGGAAATATCTCGAAATTTTCGTTATATAATATAAAAATGGGTATGATTTCTAAGCTAAAATTAATCCTTGTGGCGAACTGCATATAGAAGTGTTATTAACTCAAAATCACGATTTTTGTAGTTATCCTCATTTCTATTGTCCATGACCATTTTACTATTGTTTTTAAAACTTTAATGGAAAATATTTCAAAATTTTATTAAGTGGGCATGGTTTCTAAGCTTTGTGATGAGTTACACATATAAATGTTATTAACTGAAATTTGACTTTTCCTCATCTCTATTGAGCAGGTCCTATATACATATTTGTATTATATATATCTATATTCACGAGATGATGGGTTAAAAAAAGTCAAGAAATCTTTAATAATATAAATGTTTTTTAAAATAATGTAAATGAGTGTATATATATATGTAAATATAGTATATTTATTATATGTGATAACAGTTTGTTTGCTTTAAAAAAAATTTTTTTAATAATTAATAAATTTATTTTTTTTTAATATAAACTCTCTTTATAATGAGTTGCTCTTTTTTCGCCTTCTCTTCTCTAGCACATTTACTCTCCATCAGGAAAGTTTTGTCCGGTAGCCATTGCATGCTGTCTCAAGACTGCAACAGCTTCTTCTACTTTGGCATCAAGAGCAATATTGCTTTCCAATAAGTGCAACAATTCACTATTGTCCATCTCAAGCAACATACCAGTAATTTTACCGGCCATTTCTGGTTGACGCGCAGAAATTTTTGGGAACAATTGTTCTCCTAATAATTGTTTTTGAGCTTCAGGAGGCACACCAACAAATTTACGAGTGTCGAACACAGTATTGGCAGCATTACTACCAGAATTTTGAGAAGTGGTAGCAGAGTTGTTTGCTACCGAACGAGAGTTATTTGGAGGATTTTGACCATTATTAACACGGTTGTTTTGGGTGAATTGATTATGTTGTTGTTGTTTAGCGGGTTGGTATTGGTTTCTGGAACCACGGCTTGCATTAGGGTTGCCACGATTAGTATTTTGTGGAGGTGGGTTTTGTGGACGACCATTAGAACGATTAACAATTTGTCCATAATTATTGGATCTAATACTAGGAGCGGTGGTTGATACAGCGTTAATCATTCCAACACCACTATAAAAATGAGTGGGTCTGCCGCTAATTCTACCATATGAACCTGGATGTGCATAACCAACTGGCATACTATAAGCATTTGCAGTTCCTATTCCAACAGCCTATAATTAATTAAATTGATTGATTAATTAATACAAATAGATTATTAATTAATACTTTTTAACAACAACAATAATAATAGTAATAATAATAATTCTTACTGCTTGCTGTTGTAAACGAATTTGATTACGCTGATTAATTTGAGCTTCTAATTGGGATTTTCTAACATCTTTACGTTGAGCCAATGCTACATATATTGGTTTACTGCCGATCATTCTACCATTCATTTCAGCTACAGCCTTGGTTGCTTCGTCAGGAGAAGAGAAGCATACAAAACCGAAACCTTTTGATTGGTTACGTTCATCTCTCATAACCTTTGCACTAGTGATCACACCATAAACAGAAAACTCTTGACGCAATTTTTCATCATCAATATCGTCTTCAAGATTTTTGATATACAAATTGACACCTTGATATTTGTTGAGTTTTTCCAATTTTGCTTGTTCGTACTGTCTTCTCAATTCCTCTTCGCGTTCATGCTTCTTTTGAGCACGAGCAACGAACAATTTTTTACCATTAATTTCACTATCATGTAGTTCAGCAACAGCTCTATGAGCTTCATCATGAGTTTCAAAATTAACAAATCCAAATCCTTTTGATTTGCCCTGGTCATCAGTAACTATAACAGCAGAAGTAATGTTACCGTATTTGGTGAACATATTTTCAAATTCTTCATTAGTGATTGCAGTATCAAGATTCTTTACATAAATGTTGGTAAATTTGGCTTTGATTTCCTCAAGTTTTGATTGACGTTCTTTCTTTGGAATATGATGACCAACATAACTAGAGATAAGTTGCAAATATGAATAATATAGAAGTCAGTATTCAATGATTCGTATAAAATTTAATAAATTACAACTCATAATTATAGTCTAGATATATCCACTTATATATTACTTACACTTTCTTATCGTTTAGCAACATTCCATTAACATGTTTAATGGCATTATCAGCAGCTTCTGCAGTTTCATAGTGGACAAAACCATAACCTTTAGAGGAGCCTTCTTCCATAGCTACTTTACAACTAAGGATATTACCAAATGCAGTAAATGTGTCGTGGAGTGCTTTGTTGTCGATTGCTTTATCAAGGTTCTTGATGAAGATGTTTCCAGTACCAGTTTTACGAAGTGCAGGGTCACGTTGAGACCACATGATACGACAAGGTTTATTTTTAATAAGAGTGTAGTTGAGAGTTTCTAAAGCACGTTCACCTATTATTTTTGTAGTCATCACCATCATCATCATCATAATTGTAAGAATAAATTAGTATCATATTTAGTTTATTATATCAATATATTTATTGATAATCTCCGTGATTTTCATAATCCCCAAATATAGAAATGTATACATACCATCAGCAGTACTATGAAAATTGACATAGGCATAGCCAAGAGAACGACGAGTAACAGCATCTCTACAAACTCTAATGCTTGCCACAGGACCAACAGGATTAAACAATTCAAATAACATTGCTTCAGTGACGGAGGGATCCAGCTCACCCACGTAAAGAGAAGCAGAAGCTTGAGGAGGAGCGGTAGCAGCGGCGGTAGCAGCAGCAGCAGGAGGTACGCCAAATTGCACATTTTGAGCAATTTGTTGCTGGTCCACAGAAATTGGAGCACCCGTAGTAGTCATGTTAGGAACACCAGGAGCAGATGTAGGTGCAGTAACAGCGGCAGACATTTTTAAATTGTTCAAGTTTTTTCTTTGTTGAAAGAAAAGTGTGATATTAGAAAAATTGAGTAATTAATGAGTAAAGATTTATAACTATAATGTATGTATATAAAATAGTTATAGTCGATAGGTTTGTGTAGGAAAGAATGAGTAAGAGTTATTTCTGAAGAGAATATTTGTTTGTAAAAGGATTCTTTAAATAATTTTTTTGTGGGTAAAAAAAATGCGAAAAAAAATATATATATGATGAATCTAAAATAGTATTGAAAGTTTTTGAAAGTCTTTTTTTGTTGTTATTGTTGTTGTTATCTAAGATGAGAAAGAAGAGAGGCGTAAATGATTATTTTTTTTGATTTTTTTGATTTTTTTATTTTTTTTTTAAATTTTTTTTATTTTATATATATATAAACTTTATATATAAAATATTATTTATTAGAGCTTTGGGCAAGAGTAAAAAAAAAATAAAAAGAAGGCGGATAAAAAGCCACGGTTAACAAAAAAAAAAGATTTTTTTTTAAGGGGGTATAAAATATAAAAATATAAATAGTTGTATGATTTAAATTGAATTTATTATAATAATTTGATTGGATTATAATTTATTCCTAATTTATTCAATGAATTAACAAACATTTTAATAATAATTCCACAAAATAATTGCAGGGGTCAAATTTTAGTAAACGGTTATTATTATTGTACTAAATATATATATATTAATCAGGACAATAAGAAAGCGTAATATCAATAGTAATAGGCTGTGAAGAGTGTTAGGAAATCCAACAAGTGACATTTATCAACATCAATTCTTAAGTAACGGAAACAAAAGTTATTCTGAAATTTAGTCCCAATAACTAGGTTGTTAAAAAAAAGACGTTCGTAACCAATACTGAAGAAAAATTGGGCTTCCGAAATTCATACATATTTTAGAAAGAGTTCACAACGTTTTTCGAATTAAACTAAGAAATTCTTGTTATTTAAATCCTACGGATAGTAATTCTATTCAATTAATATTAAGTGTGGTAATAAAATCATTGCTTATGATTATCATATTAATTGCATTAAAGAAAAGTTCGGTTTCTTCACTTTTTTATATATTAATATTATTAGTGAGACTTAAAAGTCATCACGAGATTAAAAAATTGTTACACGGAAAAGTGGAAAATTCGCTCCCCTAAAATTTGTGATCGTTTATAACTAAATTTAGAAAACAAGAAATTATCCGAACAAATTATAGGGCATACTGCAGTCAGGATTATTCCCTGATTTGGAATCGATTCTGGGATTTTCTGTGGATCAATTCACATAGTGATGCAAACGAATTGACGCGATATTTTCATTTTGTTTTTTATCCCATTTTTTTTTATACGAACCTCCATAACAATAATTGAAATAATACCCTCGGACTTTCTCTTTCATAATCTGTAAAAAATCTGTTAGAATCTGTTAATTTGAAAGAGTATACTTTTATTCAAAATTGATGAATTATTGTACAAAGGATTTGTTTTTTGCCTAAATATTTGTTAAACTGTTTTTTTATCTTTATAATAGACAAAACGTCAAGACATTAGCTAGCCATATTAAGGTTGTTAAAAAAAAGACGTTCGTAACCAATACTGAAGAAAAATTGGGCTTCCGAAATTCATACATATTTTAGAAAGAGTTCACAACGTTTTTCGAATTAAACTAAGAAATTCTTGTTATTTAAATCCTACGGATAGTAATTCTATTCAATTAATATTAAGTGTGGTAATAAAATCATTGCTTATGATTATCATATTAATTGCATTAAAGAAAAGTTCGGTTTCTTCACTTTTTTATATATTAATATTATTAGTGAGACTTAAAAGTCATCACGAGATTAAAAAATTGTTACACGGAAAAGTGGAAAATTCGCTCCCCTAAAATTTGTGATCGTTTATAACTAAATTTAGAAAACAAGAAATTATCCGAACAAATTATAGGGCATACTGCAGTCAGGATTATTCCCTGATTTGGAATCGATTCTGGGATTTTCTGTGGATCAATTCACATAGTGATGCAAACGAATTGACGCGATATTTTCATTTTGTTTTTTATCCCATTTTTTTTTATACGAACCTCCATAACAATAATTGAAATAATACCCTCGGACTTTCTCTTTCATAATCTGTAAAAAATCTGTTAGAATCTGTTAATTTGAAAGAGTATACTTTTATTCAAAATTGATGAATTATTGTACAAAGGATTTGTTTTTTGCCTAAATATTTGTTAAACTGTTTTTTTATCTTTATAATAGACAAAACGTCAAGACATTAGCTAGCCATATTACCTTACTTATTTCTGTATTTGTTGTCCTGCTAAAAGGGTCACCAGTTGAAATCATGCAATCAATCTTGAAGACAAGCATCAGGAAAGACAGTAATTTTACATCAATAAATAAATCAGAAATGATTTACGAAAGTTGCAAGCAAATAAAATCTGGAAACTGATCAATTATTCAACCAGTCCAATTTCATATTTTTATTCAATCACCAATAAAATAATTGACTCACGGAAAATATCTCAAACGGAGAAATAGATATTCTAACATTCTAAAACGTAACAAACCTTTAATTTTTATATTAAAATTTAAACGAAGGAATTTAAATGATTGGATCACTTTAGAAATAACTTAAAAATAATTCTACACAGAAGGTTCAAATAATACATTTAATTAGAATAAATTAGGATTTCAAAGAAATCGGAAAATTAGATGATACAGACGATAGAACCTTTAACATGTATAAATAACGTTGTAGTTTTCTTAACTTCATACATCATCATAATAATCGTTTAATAAATAGCACTGTCCTTAACTTTGTCTTTGACCTTGTCCTTGTTGTCTTCAAATATTATATTTTTGTAATGATAATAAATCTATCTCTAACAATGAATCCCGTGCAAAATTATTTTTCTCTTATTTTATATTTGTCTTTATTATTTTTATTATTTTTTATTTCTTTTCTTTTCTTTTAGTGAGGTAGTATTTAATAAATTTTATTTAGTGAAGTTTGGAGACGTACCTGACTTGGTTGCAAAGAGGAAAACGGCTAGAAGGGCACCCACCAAGAAACGTGACCAGGATATATAGCGTAAAATCAAAAAATCAAAAGAAGATATTGTTTAGTATTTCTTAGTATAAGGAATTGTGTAACGAGTGAAAGATAATTTTGAGAGTGAAGCATAAATATACATTCGCGGAAATTGTTGTTACGATTTAATAAAATAATAAATGAATTAGAAGAAATTGTATGAACATTGTTGGTTGGTATATTAGTATAATAAAATATTGAGATTCATTGTGAGATGCGAATTTTGATCTTACAGTAGATTAATCGTCCACGAAGGTTTAAATTACTCGGTGTACTGTGCGCTGCATTGCCAAATATTCAAATCCCAAAATAGCAATGATATTCTTTGGTGTTAAGGTCTTATAAAACACATGACTCAACCATTATGAGTTTGTATTCAAATTATACCCAAATAAATTTTTACTTGAAAAAATAAATAAACAAATAATTCTAATAAACAAATAAACGAATAAACGAATAAATGAATAATTCAAGTAAAATGAATAATTTGAATAAACAAATAAAATGAATAATTCAAATAATTCATATAATCAATTTCTTTATCTGTTTTCTTCACTTGATGCAATTCGTTATCTGATTTGTTTTAAATGCGGAGTTTGCTTATTTTGTCTTGGCCTTTTTTTAATTAGAAGGATGTAAATTTTGTTAGTAATATATTGTTTGTTGATTACTTGCAAAAAATTATGATGATGGTTTTCTGAACATAGCGGGCTTTCCCTGTGATTGGCTTATTTTATTTTGTGTAAAATGATGATCATTACTAAAATAAAATTTT